AGGACTTGATTTTGGAGCATTTTGAGGTCTCACTGCTCACAGACCAATATGTGCCTGCCTGTTGTGTTTGAATGTGGTGCTGAGAGGTTTTGTTTGGCATTTAGGCAGCTTATCTTGGATAAAAGTAGTTTTCATTCCCCAGCCATCCCTGGAAATCTCATCTTCCACCCGAGTAGAGAACTCTCCGTGCTTGCTTCAGGGAAAACTTGGGGGTCTTCCAGCACCTGCTTGTCCAAAAGGCTTTTTGAGGGTACATGCAATGCTGCCCATGTGCAAAAGATATTCCAGAGCCAAGTTAAGCTCCCAAGTGCTCCCAGATTTCATGGTGCTGTCTGCACAAATGGCCCTGAAGGCTTCTTAGAGGTCAGCAGAGGTTTTGTTATAGGGAGCCAGGCAGGTGTGCTCTGATTGTGCCACACCTTTGGACTGCCTCCAAAAACATGAAGCATGGGCTTTGGTCAAGAGCTTCAGCATCACCCACTGCTCACCCATCACTCAGTGGCTCAAACATCTGCAGTTCAGGGTGACTTCCCATCTCAACAGCTTCTCGTCTCAGGAATTTCCAGACAGCACTAAGGGGGGTTGGTGTTCAAGCAGAAGTGACAAAATACAGTGTGAAAAAACAGTGCTGGGGGACTGTGCTGGCTCAGTACATGGAATCACAGAGGTTTTCCCTCCCTTTAGGATTGCCAAGGGCTACCAGAATTCCCCCGACCTGCGGCTGACGTGGCTGCAGAACATGGCAGGGAAACATTCCGAGAGGAGCAACCACGCCGAGTCCGCCCAGTGCCTGGTGCACTCTGCAGCCCTGGTGGCAGAGTACCTGAGCATGCTGGAGGACAGGAAATACCTCCCTGTGGGCTGTGTGACATTTCAGGTGGGCATTTTCCTCTCTAAGGGTTCTTTGGGTTTTGCTGCTGAGGTACAAAGTGATTCCGTGTGCTGGGAGTTCTGTGCCTGCGTCCTGAAACCGTGCTCACTGTTTGTTGTGTGAATGAAGTGCTGCTCTGTGAGAATAGAAATGTGTATGTAATACACATGCTGTACAAAAATAGATAAATTTTATATATACACTACAAAAATGGAAGTGTTTTACATATATATTTCTACAAAAATAGAAAGCTGTATTTTACGTATATACACTACAAAAATAGAAAACTGTATTTTATATATATATGCTCTACAAAAATAGAAAGCTGCCTTTATAGAAATTCCAGGATTTGACTGCAGATCAGCTGCCTTTCAAAGTATTGAAAGTGTTGAGTGTTGTTTCAATTGAGTAAGTGTATTTTTATTTCTTATATCCTCCCAGAACATATCTTCCAATGTTTTGGAAGAGTCAGCAGTTTCTGATGATGTTGTGTCTCCAGATGAAGAAGGAATCTGTTCTGGGAAGTATTTTACAGAAGCTGGTCTGGTGGGATTGCTGGAACAGGCTGCAGCATCTTTCTCCATGGTAGAAGACTTTCATTTCTTTACCTCCCTTCTCTATCAACCTCACACTGCTGGGCAGTAGGAAGAAAAATGTTTTCTCTCTGAGTTTGTAGTTCTATTGTA